GCATATGCCCAGGAGAGCGAAGCAGGGCCTCTGCTCCAGAGAGCAGAGCTGTCGAGTCTGAGCTCACTTCCTCTTCCTCCCAGCATCCTATTCTGTTTACTCCTCCCACCTATGTTTTAACCTATCAGGGCCAAGGAGTTTCTTTATTGCTTAACCAATGAAATCAACAGATTGATATATGGCACTCCCACATCACCAGTGACCATTCATTCTTGCTATGGCAAGAACTTGAAGCACAGAGCTATTTTTACAGCTCCTTTAAAGTTGTATTCTAAATTTAGGATATGCTCTGAAATCAACAAAATGCAGATCATCACACAAGGTAGGAGTGATTCTGTGGTGATCACCATAAGATCGGGGAGAAGCTAAAAAACCTAAATAATGTAAATCCTAGACTCAGGGCAGTTCATAACCACATGTGAATACAGAGGAGCCTGGGATTTCTTATTTTTCTCCATGATCACTATACCAACCACACAGAAACATATACACATAATTAAAAATAAAGCATTTATTTAAAAGTTTCTCATTCCTTGCCGGAACTTAGCTTAATGGTAGAGTTCTGGTGTAGTACATAGGAAACCTTGATTCAAAAAATACCATTTCAAGTGTGTGTTCCTCATTTTGATTAATAAATACTGCATTTGATTCATCCATACTCTCTGTAAAAGGTTATGACACTTTTTTTAAAGACTGCTTTATTTTTTATGATTTATTTATCTTCATTTTATGTGCATTGGTGTGAAGGTGTCAGATCCCCTGGAAATGGATTTTCAGACAGTTGTGAGCTGCTATGTGGGTACTGGGAATTGTCCTGGGTTCTCTGGAAGAGCAGTCACTGTTCTTAACTGCTGAGCCATTTCTCTAGCCCCTGGTTATGACACTTTTTCTCATAAGAAAACAGACTCATTTTTCTTCTCAGAAACAACCCTTTTCTATCACTCATCTGAGGTCCTGTGGAATCAAACCTCAGGGAACACAGCATCATCTGGTGTAAGATGCAGATGACAAAGGGAACTAAGATGCATTAATATTATCAAGGTATATTGTTAATGAGGTAGAATTTTTTAAGTTGAATGAGTGACATAGGCTGAAAAGGAATGTTTTCAAATAACTTAAGATGTTAGCATACATATATCTGTTTCTCCAAGTATGTGTGTGTCTATGTATCTTTCTCTCTTCTACTATTTGTCTATTTTTCTCTGTTAATATCTTGAAGTTAGCATGTTTGCTTTATAGAAGCATATTTTCTCATACTATGCTAATAGTTTACATTACAGAATTTACCACAGCACCCTCTGACTACAGAGTTCCTCTCAGGTGTCAAGTGTTCTGGGAAACTGTGACTTGAGGGATTTCTTCAGGGTCAGGGCCTCATTTCACATTATAAAGGGTCTAAACACAGCCCATCTCCACTTTATGCCTAAGGGTCAAAGTTACATTCAGAACACTAGTGGTTGAGAACTCAGATCAGGAGCCCCTGCCTTACACATTTCAGTGTGTGGCAGATACCATGTTGCTTATGGGCACAGTCTACTCTTATTTTTACATTTAATTTAGGTGTGTGGTTTTCAAGATGAATAATGAAATTCCAGCAAGTGCTATGGGTTTTTACAGTAGATAATGATGTCATTATATCATTTGGTCCAGATTCTTGATAGACAACACAAGCTGTTATCTCTCTCTCTCTCTCTCTCTCTCTCTCTCTCTCTCTCTCTCTCTCTCTCTCTCCCTCTTTCATTTCTTTGATTTTATTTGTCCTTCATATCCTACGTTCTTGAGATTGATGCACAGAATAGTGATCCTACTTTTTTCCTGTCTTACATACAGTCAAAAGTGTTGTCATCAAGAAGAATTTTGGGGAGGCTGGTGTTTGTTTTAGTAATGAATAACCAAATGCTGTGATAAAATGTTATTTTCTGCAGTAAAATGTCATGTTTTAAAAGATAGGAGAGCTAGATCTATGGCTCTGGGTTATAGTGTTTGCTTTCCATTGCAAGGTCTTAAATTAAAGAACCAAGAACAATTTGAAAGAAAATATCATAACTATATATAGAAAAATACCTCTCACATTGATAGACTTAAAATAGGCAATCTTGTGACAGAATAAGGAATGACAATCCCTAGAGAAGGAAGGGCAGATGAAAGTGGTGGAGAGGGAACACGTATACAGTGAGTCACAAGAGTTTTCTTCCTTCTCATAACAATCAGCTCAGTGTAGGTCTGCAGCTTCCATGTCTTGCTTTAAAGTTCACTACAGGAAAAGGGAAATGTTTGAATGAATGGAAGCACTAATTATCACAGTGTATGTTTACACATGGTTTTGAAATATGTAGACGAGGCTATCCTCGAACTCGAGATCCTCCTGCCTCTGCCTCCTTCAGCAAATCCTACCGGTGTGCGCCACCACGACCGGCATTACACATGGTTTTGAAGGTGAAAAGTAAATCATGATTGTATTCCTCAGTTGACATCTACCTTATTTGTTAAGAAAGGGTCTCACATTTAACCTGGAGCCCAGAGTTCAGATAGAATGGTGGGATGGCAAGTCACAGAGAGGTTGCTGCCACCACTTCCCAATGCTGGGAGTACAGAATAAAGCATTATACCTAGCTTGATAGTTAAGTACTAAAACTTAACTGAGACAGTCTTACATGGAGGCAGGAAACTTAACGCTGAGGCATCTCATCAGTCCTGAATTTTGTTCTACCAACGTCATACCTATTGTAGCACAGTTATTGCTGCCCATATCAGCATGTATGTGAACCCAAGCACTGCAATATAGAAAACATACCAGTGACCATACATTCAAAAATGTGTGAGTCAATACATTGTCCAGGAAAATACATTTCCAACTGCTCCTCAATAAGAAGTATGGACAATGAATTATCAGCCATATCTGTACCAGGGTTTGGGCTGACTTGACCATAGATGGGCTTATACAGACAGCATTAGCCATTATGAGTCCACGATTGTAATATCCATGACCTGTCCAGAAGACAGCATTTCACAGTACTCCTCCCTGTGCTCCACTCCTTACATTCTTCCCACCTCCTTTTCATCAGTTTTCTCTGAGCCTTGGGGGAACTTGAATGTTACTGGAAATCTTATATTGAACAACATGTTGAAGATTGGGAATGACAATTTCTGCCATATAGAGAATACAGATTGTGTGTTTGAGACTCTGTGTATATGGTGTACTGACATCTGTTGTGTAGGGTTGGAACTAGAATGGAAGTCAAGACAGGAAAAGACATCATAAATGAAGGGTAAGAGAGAAAAAGCACAGGGTAATACAGGGGTTTTGAAAGGGAAAGATGGGTGTAATGAGAGAAAGGGGCTCACTGGGTAGAAAGCATGAGAATTTGGGAAAATAAAAACAAAGTCTTCTGAAAATACCAAATTGATCACAAAATTTTATGTTTTGTTATAAAAACTTGTTAAACATCCCCATTATGATGAAAATATAAATATGCAGAAAATGACCTGATAACAGCCATGTGTTACCTGTTATTGTGTGGGAAAGACAGAGTAGAGAGTACAAAGTGATCATAGGGAGAACTTCAGGATGCCAACAACTAAGTGCTGCAAATTCAAATATGTCTTCACAGCAATCACTGAGAGGAAAACAGACAATAACAAGAAACATCACATTTGCAAAATCCCTGGGGCCCTATGATAGCACCCCTGAGAACTGTGTAAAATTCAGAAATGTCTCAAGTGTTCCTGTCACAGAGAAGGAGTTCTTCTTAGAGGCAGGTGTGACCCTAAGCAAGATTCACCTCAGGGAGAAGCCATGTCCAGTAGAAACTGACAAACAGAGCTAATATATAGAAACACAGCTTTGGAAGAAGATGTTAAATTTCACATTGATACTAATGAGACATGACAGTCTGGAAATACAACATTTTTATGCATATGGTAAAAGGGGAACTAAATACAATGTGGTTGATCCCTAACAAGGAAAATATGTACAGAGAGCTAGATAATGCTAAAACTGTCATCAGTGTGAATGATGTCTTATATCTGTGCTGTGTATTGCTTTCTGCCCAGGTCCAACTACAGAGCCTGCTATTGCAAGAAAATATGCAAATAAGGCTCCTTTGTGCCCACAAAAACCAGTATTGTCCTGACCCTGCAGCTCTGGCAGAGGAGACCAGCCCTGGATTCTCAGTCCTCCCATTCAGGGTTCTTTATTCAATACAGGCCACTCATCATGGACTTGTGGCTCATATTGGTTTTCTTTGTCCTTATTTTAAAAGGTAATTCATAAATATGAGATGCTGTATGTTGTGAAGACAAGAGAAAGAGAAAAAATTATCTTCTGCATCAGTTTTCTACCCTGAAATTTTTGTGCTTACAGGTGTTCAGTGTAAGGTGCAGTTGCAGGAGTCTGGGGGAGGTTTAGTGCAGCCTGGAAAGTCCCTGAAACTCTCCTGTGCAGCTTTTGTATTCACCTTTGTTGACTATGAAATGAACTGCATTCACCAGGCTCCAGGGAAGGGGCTGGAGTGGGTCTTATACATTAATAAAGGTAGTACTAGCTACTATACTGACGCTATGAAGGGCCGGCTCACAATCTCCAGAGACAATGCCAAAAACACTTTGTACTTGGAAATGAGCAGTCTGAGGTCTGAGGACACAGCCATGTATTACTGTGCAGGAGACACAGTGAGTGAATGAATGCTACTGTGAGCTCAGACAAGAACACCACTGTGGGGAACACAGGACCAGCAGGGGGCGCTGAGAGCACTGGCTCACAGAAGAGCCTGCTCAGAGAAACATGGAAGACTGAACTTCTCTGTGTCTGCACTGCCTCTTCATGTCATACATAGTGATTTTTTCTCTACAGGTATAATGTGTAGTAATCCTTGAATGTCCAAATGTTTATTCAAATTTCTGTTTTATGTTGTGTTGTCTGTGTGTGTTTTATATTAAAAATCATCAATTGATGTTTTGTTTATAATAAACTCACAAAGCTTAAGTACTGCTTGTTGGTATGTGGGCAGGTTTGCTCGGTTTCATCATACATTTATTTCTTTTTTTATTACTTCAAAAATGCCAATCCCAATTCCCACTCCCTCTCCTCCTCCAAGTCTCGTCCCTCTCCCTCTATAGACCCTCCCACACCCCTCCAACCCTAAGGGAGAGCCATGCACCCTTCCCTGTGGAAAGTTCAAGGCCCTCCCTACTACATCTAGGTTGAGCAAAGTTTACATCCAAAGAGAATAGGATCCCAAGAAGCCAGTATATGCAAATAGAGACACATCCCATTGTCACTATCTGTGGCCCCTCATTCGACCCCAGCTGTCAACCCCCTTCAAAGGGGCTTGGTTGTTCCCATGCTCATTCACTCCCAGTCCAGTTGGAGTTGGTGAGCTCCCATTAGTTCAAATAAACTGTCTCAGTGGATGACTCCCTCATGGTATTGAATTCCTTGCTCATACTCTCATCCTTCCACTCTTCAACTGGATCTTGGGAGATCAGTCCAGTGCTTCAATGTGGGTCATTGCCTTGGTTCCATCTGTTGTTGGATGAAGGTTCTATAGTGATATTTAAGATCATCATCAGTCTGACTACAGGGTTAAGTCAGTTCAGACATCCTCTCCTCTATTGCTTAGAGTCTTAGCTGGGGTCATCCCTCTGGGTTCTTGGGCATTTTTCTAGGACCAGGTTTCTTGCTAACTCCATAATGGCTCCCTCAATCAAGATATCTCTTTCCTTGCTCTCATATTTGTCCTTCCTTCATCTCTACTATCCATTCCCTCAAGTTGTCCTTAACCCTCCCCTTCTCCCCTTCCTCCTAACCCCCGCCCGCCCCCCACTCCCAAATTTTTGTCTGATTCCATTTTCCAGATGGGTCTATAAATGTTTTTCACCTTATTACTTAGTTTCTCTAGGATCCTGAACTATAGGCTCGTTGCCCTTTGTTTATGACTAGTATCCACTTATAGGTGAGTAAATACCATATCCTTTTTGGTGGGTCTGGGTTACCTCACCCAGGATAATGTTTTCTAATCCCATCCATTTGCATGCAAAATTCAAGGTATCATTTTTTTTACTGCTGAGTAGTACTCTAATGTGTAGATGTGCCACACTTTCTTTATCCATTCTTCAGATGAGGGACATCTAGGTTGTTTCCAGGTTCTGGCTATTACAAATAATGCTGCTATGAACATACTTGAACAAAAGCTCTTGTAGCATGATTGGGTATCTTATGGATATATTCCCAAGAGTGGAGTTGCTGGATCCTGAGGTAGGTTGGTTCCCAGTTTTCTGAGAAACTGCCACACTGATTTCCAAAGTGGTTACACAAGTTTGCATTCCCACCAGCAATGGATGAGTGTTCCCTTTACTCCACAACCTCTCCAGCATAAGCTATCATCAGTGTTCTTGATCTTAGCCATTCTAACAGGTGTAAGATGATAGCTCAAAGTTGTTTTGATTTGCATTTCCCTGATGGCTAAGGAAGAAGAACATGTCCTTAGGTATCATATCTTTTGGCCATTTGAAATTCTTCTAATGAGAATTCTCTGTTTAGTTCAGTACACCACTTTTTAATTGGCTTATTTAGAAGTTTAATGTCTAATTTCTTGAGTTCTTTATATATTTTGGATATCAGTCCTTTGCCTGATTTGGGGTTAGAAATGATTTTTTTTCTCACTCAGTGGGCTGCTTTTTTGTCTAAATGACTGTGTCCTTTGCATTTCAGAAGCTTCTCAGGTTCAGGAGGTCCCATTTGTTTATTGATGGTCTTAATATCTGTGTTACTTGGGTTATATTTGGGGAGGGTCTCCTGTGCCCATGCATTGAAGGTTACTTCCCACTTACTTCTCTATCAGGTTCAGTGTGGTCAGATTTATATTGAGGTCTTTAATCCATTTGGACTTGAGTTTTGTGCATGGCGACAGATATGGATCTATTTTCATTTTTCTACAGGTTGACATCCAGTTATGCCAGCACCATTTGTTGAAGATGCTTTCTGTTTTCCATTGTATCTTTTGGGGTTTCTTTATTAAAATTCAGATGTTCATAAGTGTGTTAATTAATACCTTGGTCTTCAGTTTGATTCCATTGGTCAACATCTCTGCTTTTATGCCAATACCAAGCTGTTTTCATAGGGTACCTCTGTAATACAGCTTGAAGTCAGGGATGGTAATGCCCCTGGCAGTTCCTTTATAGTACAGGATTGTTTTGGCTATCCTGGGCTTCTTGTTTTTCCATATGAAGTTGAGTATCATTCTCTTAAGGTCTGTGAAGAATTGTGTTGGGATATTGATGGGGATTGCATTGAATCTCTAGATTGCCTTCATTACAATGACCATTTTTACTACATTGATCCTACCTATTCAATAGCATGGAAGATCTTTCTATTTTCTAGTCTCTTCTTAAATTTCTTTCTTCAAAGACATAAAGTTCTTGTCAAATAGGTCTTTCACTGCCTTGGTTAGTGTTACCCCAAAATATTTTTATATGATTTGTGGGTATTGTGAAGGGAAATGTTTCAGTGATTTCTTTCTCATCTTCTTTATCCTTTGTATATAGGAGGGCTACTGAATTTTTTTAGTTGATCTTGTATTCTGCCATATCACTGAAGGTATTTATCAGCTGTAGGAGTTCTCTGGTAGAGTTTTTGGGGTCACTTATATACACTATCATATCATCTGCAAATAACAAAGTTTAATTTCTTCCTTTCCAATTTGAATCCCCTTGATCTCCTTATGTTGTCTTATTGCTATTGCTAAAACCTCAAGAACTATGTTGAAGAGATATGGATAGGGCAGACAGCCTTGTCTTGTTCCTGATTTTAGTAGAATCACTTTGGGTTTCTCTTCACTTAATTTGATTTTAGCTGCCAGCTTGCTGTATATTGCTTTTATTATATTTAGATATGATCCTTGGATCCATAATCTCTCCAAGACCTTTATCATGAAGGGATGTTCAATTTTACCAAATGTTTTCTCTGCATCCAATGAAATGATCATATGTTTTTTTATTCTTTTAGTTTATTTATGTGGTAGATCACATTGATTGATTTTTGTATATTGAACCAGCCCTGTATCTCTGGGATGAAGCCTACTTGGTCATGATGGATGATTTTTTTATGTGTTCTTGGATTCGGCTTGCCAGAATTTTATTGAGAATTTTTGCATCCATGTACATGAGTGAGACTGGTCTGTAATCCTCTTTCTTAGTTGAGTGTTTTTGAGGTTTTGGTATCAGGGTAACTGTAGCTTCATAAAAAGTTTGTCATTGAGCCTTCTGTTTCTATTATGTGGAACACTTTGAGGAGTATGGGCATTAGCTCTTCTTGAAAGTTCTGGTAGAATTCAGCATTAAAACCATCCGGCCCTGGGCTTCTTTTGGTTGGGAGGGTTTTGATGGCAGCTTCTATCTCCTTGTGGCTTATAGATCTATTTAAATTGCTTGCCTGGTCTTGATTTGATTTTGGTAGGTGGAATCTGCCTAAAAAATGACCATTTATTTTACATTTTCCAGTTTTGTGGAGTACAGATTTTTGTAGTAGGACCTAATGATTCTCTGAATTTCCTCATTGTCCATTTTTTATGTCCCCCTTTTCAGTTCTGATTTTGTTAATTTGGATGTTCTGTCTCTGCATTTTGTTTCATTTGGATAAGGGTTTGTCAATCTTGTTGATTTTTTCAAAGAACCAGCTCTTTCCTTCATTGATTCTTTGTATGGTTTTCTGTGCTTCTATTTTGTTGATTTTAGCCCTCAACATGATTATTCCCTGTCTTCTTCTCCTGTTCAATGAATCTTCTTTTTTCTAGAGCTTTTTGCTGTTAGGTCATTGATGTGAACTTACTCCATTTTCCTTATGTGGCACTTAGTGCTATGAACTTTCCTCTTAGCAGTGCTTTCATAGCTTCCCATAGGTTTGGGTATGTTCTATCTTAATTTTAATTGAATTCAAGGAAGATTTTAATTTCTTTTTTTATTTCTTCCTTGACCCAGGAGTGGTTCAGTATTTGACTGTTCAGTTTCCATGAGTTTGTATGCTTTCTGGGATTAGGATTGTTGTTGAATTCTAACTTTATGCCATGGTGATCTGATAAGACACAGTGGATTACTTCAATTTTTTGTATCTGGGGGTGTTTGCTTTATTACCGAGAATGTGATCAATTTTAGAGACGGTACCATGAGGTGCTGAGAAGTAGGTATATTCTTTCCAGTTTGGGTGGAATGTTCTATAGATGTCTCTTAAGTCCATTTGATTCATTACATCTGTTAGTTCTCTTATTTTTCTGTTAAGTTTCTGTCTGATTGACCTGTCCATTGTTGAGAGAAGAGTGTTGAAATCTCCTACTATTAGTGTGTGGGGTTTGATGTGCTTATTCAAGTTTCAGTAATATTTCTTTTACATATGTGGGTGCTCTTGAATTAGGGGCATAGATATTCAAAACTGAGTCTTAATCTTGATGAATTGTTCCTGTTATGAGTGTGAAATGTCCTTCTACATCTCTTCTGATTGAATTTAGTTTGAAACCAATTTTGTTAGATATTAGAATAACCACACCTGCTTGGTTTTTAGGTCCATTTCATTGGAAAAACTTTTCTCATCCATTTACTGTGAGGTAATGTCTGTCTTTGAGGTTGAGGTGTGTTTCTTGTAAACAGCAGAATGCTGAATCCTGTTTACATATCCATTCTCTTAGCCTGTGTCTTTTTATAGGTGAATTGAGACCATTGATATTAAGTGATATTAATGACCAGTGGTTGTTAGCTCCAGTTATCTTTCAGTAGTAGTGTTTGTGTGTTTCACTTCTTTGGGTTATGCTGATGGGGCTTTATCAGATTCCTGTGTTACTGTGGGTGTAGTTAGCTTTCTTGGGTTATGGATTTTCTCCTAGTACTTTCCGTAAGGCTGTGTTTGTTGATACATATTGTTTAAATCTGTTTTTGTCATTGAATATTTTGTTTTCTCCATCAATGGTGAATGAAACTTTTGCTGGGTACAGTAGTCAGGGCTTGCATCAATGGTTTCTAAGTGTCTGCAGTACATCTATCCAGGACCTCTGGCTTTCATGGTTTCCATTCCATGGTTTCACCATTCCATTCAGGTGTAATTCTGATAGGTTTTACTTTGTGTGTTACTTGACCTTTTCGTTTGCAGGTCTTAATATTCATTCTTTGTTCTGTATGTTTTGTGTTTTGATTATTATATGGTGAGGGGATAGCTTTTTTTATCCAGTCTATTTGGTGTTCTGTAAGCTTCTTGTACCTTCATAGTTATATCCTTCTTTAAGTTGGGAAGGTTTTCTTTTATAATTTTACTGAATATATTTTTTGGGGCTTTGAGCTTAAATTCTCCTTCTTGTACCCCTATTATTATCACGTTTGGTCTTATCATGGTATCCAGGATTTCCTGAATGTTTTGTGTTAAGAATTTGTAGGATTTACAGTTTTCTTTGACCAATGAGTCTATTTCCTCAAGAGAATCTTCAGTGTCTGCAATTCTTTCTTCTATCTCTTGTATTCTGTTGGTTACACTTGTCTATGTAGTTCCTGTTCATTTACCCAGATTTTCCATTTCCAGAGTTCCCTCGATTTGTGTTTTCTTTTTACCTCTTATTTCAATCTTCAAATTTTGAAGTGTTTCCTTCACCTGTTTGATAGCTTTTTCTTGGTTTTCTTTGGTTTCTTTGAGGCATTTATTAATTTCTTCCAGCTTTTTGTTTGTCTTCTCCATTTCTTTAAGGGAGTTTTTCACTTCCTCTTTAAAGGTCTTCATTATTTTCATTAAGTAATGTTTAAAGTTGTTTTCTTCTGTATCTTTTGAGTTAGGATGATCAAGTCTTCCTGTTGTGTGTCCACTGGGTTCTGATGGTACCATGTTGCTTTTTAGGGTGTTGGAGGATTTATCGCATTGGCACTTTCACATCTCTTCCTTCAATTCTTGTGTCTCTTATATCCACCAAGAATTAGTCTCCATGAAGCTTGAAGGGAAATATGTGCTGGAGCTGGGATAGATGACTGTCTAGCAGACAAGCTCCCTGTTGGCTGCTCTTATGTCCACTAAGTATTGGTCTCCACGGAGCTTGCAGGGAACGATGTGTTGGGGGCAGGGTAGATGGCTGTCTGGCAGACCAGCTCCCTGCTGGTGCTAGGAATGCTGAAGGTACCTGGGGAGGGGGGCCCTGGCCTTTCTCCCACTTGGAGGTTTTAGGGAGTGGGGGGGTCCAGTGTCCCAGGGCCACTGTTGTTTCTTGTGTCCACCAAGTATTGGTTTCCATGGATCTCATTGGGAAGGATGTGTTGGAGGAAGGGTAGATGGCTGTATAGCAGACCAGCTCCCTGCTGGTACTAGGAATGTGTTGTGTGTGTTTATTACAGTGTTTCTCCCTGTTTCCATTTATCTCTGTTTGTCTATCTCTCTCTCAGTCTCTCTCACTCTCTTTCTCTCTGTGTGTGTATGTGTGTATGTATGTATGTGTGTATGTGTGGTTATGTTTATTGACATATGAAACATTTCTCTAGCAAGCTACACACCTTGTTTTGAGGCAAATTCTATCATTGGTCCTGGATCTCAAGATAGTCTCATTGTCCACTGAGTCCCACTGATTCTTCTGTCTCCACATTCCATATATAGTACAACTGGTTGACTGCCATACCCATTTCTTTCTTTATTTTTAGTTATGTATTCTGAGTTCTGTGTTTAGAATACACTGAAGGGTTCTTGTGTGACAAACTTGATTTTCACAGCCCCAGTATAGTTGCATTTTAAATTTAGGATGTGCTTTTCATTGAACAAAATGGAGATCATCACACATGGAAAAAGTGATACTGTGTAGTAACCAGCATCAGTTCCCAAAGAAGACAAAGAAGATTATAAACCCTATAAGATTCAGGCAGCTCAGAACCACATGTGAGTCTAGAATACCCTGTGCCACCTGTTTATCTCCATGAGCACTACACTACCCACACAGAAGCATATACCCCTAATTTAAAACAGTGTATCTTTTAAAAAAAAGTTCTCATCCAACGCTGTAATTTATACCGATATTCTAATTCTTATGTAGTTTATATGAGACCTTAATTCAAATGGTAATAGTTTGAAATTATATTTCTCATATTGAATAATAAATACGGTATTTGAAACGTTACTATTCCCTGTTAAAATTTATAACATGGTTTCCGCCAACCATGAGAACAATTTAATTTTTTTTTCCATGAAAGATTCATTTCTCACTGATCTCTAAGTTCTGAGTCAGGAGGTTAACAGAGAGCTCAGAGAACCCACAGAGGAGAGATGATGTTCTCAGCAGCACACATTGTTCTGCCCTGCATCCTCTGATTGGGTTGCTCGACCTTGATGAGTGCATGTGGGCCGAAATGATTGCATACAACTAACATTTCTAACAACCGCAGAACTGAATATTAAACCCAAAAGAATTAGTTGCCTAAAACCAATGGTAAGAGTGCCATTTACCCAAGGAAATAATAAGACCAAGAGTTATGGGAATTGAGGAAAAGGGAGGCCTATGCTGTGGAAATGGGAATGTGGTTCTACTGAGACATTATGAAAACTGTGGAGTTCAGAGAATTACACTAAAAGATGTGACACAGAAATCTCACTTCTGGATGAGTAGACAGAAGAAGCAGAGTTGGTGCAGGAAATCAGGAAAGGAGGGAGGAGAGAAAAGAAGAGATATGAAAGTAGGAGAGGACAGAAGGGTCAAAGGAGTGAGAGACAGAGGAGAGGAGGAAGTGGGATGAATCAATATAATCTCAGTACATTAAAAAATGAGCATAGTGATTTGTTTTTAAGTAGAATTAATGACAAAGTTGATAAAATGAAATTTCCAAATATCATAGGAGGAAGGTGTGATCCTTCCCAAGTTCCATCTCAAGAAGAAGCCATGTCCAGCAGAAACAAAGGGACAGGCAAAGATAATATCTAGAAACATAGCAGTGTGGCAATTTCACATTGATCCTAAAGAAACATGACAGTGTGGAAAACCGAAATTTTCTATACATGTGGTGAAAAGGGAAGTAAGTCAGTGTTGTGAATGCCTAAGAGGAAAATGTGTACACAGAGCTATGTTAATGCTTCAATTTCTATAACTGTCATCAGTGTGTATGATGACTTATATCTTCACTGAGTACTGCCTTCTGCCCAAGTCCACCGAAAGAGCCTGTTATGGCATGAAGATATGCAAATAAGTCTTATTTGTGCCCATAAAAGCTAGGTCTTCCCTGACTCAGAAGCTCTGGCAGAGGAGACCAGCCCTGGATTTCCAAATACTCCCAGTCAGGGTTTAGCACTGAACTTAGGCCACTCACCATGGACTTAGGGCTCATATTGGTTTTCTCTATCTCTGTTTTAAAAGGTAATTCATAAAGATGAGATACTGTGTGTTGTGTGGACATGAGAAAGAAGAAAAAATGTCTTTTGTGACAGTTTTATAACCAGAGTTCTTTGCGTTTACAGGCGTCCAGTGTGAGGTGCAATTGCTGGAGTCTGGGGGAAGCTTAGTGCAGCCCGAAAGGCCCATGAAACTCTTTTGTGCAGCCTCTGGATTCACCTTCAGTAATTATTACATGAACTGGGTTTGCCAGGCTCCAGGAAAGGGACTGGAGTAGGTCGCACAGATTAATCCAAATGGTGGTAACATCTACTATACCGACGCTGTGAAGGGCCGATTCACAATCTCCAGAGACAATGCCAAGAACACTCTGTACCTGGAAATGAGCAGTTTGAGATCTGAAGACACAGCCATGTGTTACTGTGCAAGAGACACAGTAAGTGAATGTTACTGTGAGCTCAGACAAAAACACCCCTGTGGGGAACTTGGGACCAGCAGGGGGTGCCGAGAGCATTTAGAAATCAGGTTCACAGAAGAGCCTGTTCGGAGAAGCATGGAAGACTGAACTTCTCTGTGTCTGCACTGCCTCTGCATATCACATTTAGGGATTTTCTCTACAGATACAGTGTGTAGTAATC